GGTGAGGAGCACACCACAGCACTTCACACAGCCCAAATACCTCCCTCTATCTCCCAGCAGTGGTAGGTCCGTGTCCTCTCACCTAACGTGACCCCGCTATCTGCAGGCAGCCCCACAACGTGCCTGCTTTCACTATTAATACACTTTGAGGTTCAGATATCACACATAAAACACAGGTAAGTTACTCACTTCAGAATATTGAAGCCAGTCGTAAGCCAGAAGCGAAACACAAACATTAATCCTTTTGTGTCAGGATTTTCCAGGGTAATGCTGGCAGCCAGGAATGGACACGACCTGCTGGCTCCTGGGAATTCTAAGGGACATGTGGGATAACCATTACAGCTGCAGGTAGGTCTTCAAAGACTTAAACTAAGCCCCCGTTTTGCCCTTTTGTTTGCCCATTAAACTGAGCAGACAGGAGCGAGGAAACCCCCTGTGAGTGCTTTTTACTGATTTAGGGGAGTTTGGAGACTGGGGCTGCCAGTAAAACCAGCAAAGGACATGAAGGGGAAAATGCCCTGGGAAAGGTTGAGCTGTTTCTGAAGGAAATCTGCTCTGGAAGCAAGCAGCAGCAGTTTGGATGGGGCGTTATCCTGCTGCTGCGCTGCCGGGAGGACAGGAAACTTTGCTGAGAAACTTCAAGAACACAGATCTAAACAAAAAAAAATCCATCCAAGTGGACAGCAAAGACAAAAAGAACACATCCGACCTCAGAGCAACACAGCATGTTAGCAGAGGAAAAGCAGACTATTCGACAGCAAATCACAGACCTTTCAAACACGAGGCATTTCGCCGTGCCACAGAGGGCTGCTTGGGGAAGGGGGTGATGCTAAACTGGTTTTCCTTTAAGCACTCCCACTTATTAAGGAGGAAAAAAAAAAACCCTCTTGCGAAGAACACCTCCACTGTTGTACAACTGTCCCAGAAAACAAAGACCACGGGGAGAAAGTGGCCCATTTTCCAAGAACCCCGTGTACGGGTCATGTTTTCAGCAGCTCGATCCTACACGCTCGAGGATGAAGCAGCATTTAAAGCCTACGAGTAAACATCTCACAGGTGACTTATCAGAACCCATTTTTTGGTGCCACACTCAAATTGACTCAATTACATCAAACAGTCATAACACAGATAGGAACACAACTGCGAGAGAAGTTTAGCTGTGAGTGAGTTTCCCCCTCCTGGACAGGCTGCATCAAAACCAAACGACCAGTTTTCTGTTTCAGTTACAGTCATCCCACCAGCATAGCAAAACACGGACTATTTGCCAGGCACATCCATTTGGGAGCTATCCTAAACACTGTTCTGTAGCTATGCCCCCAGCCCATGGGGCAGGCTCCTGTTCCCAGTCCTCATCAGCTCCCCAAAAGCACCTTATGGCGCTCATTCCTCCCCACATGTTGAAAATATTGTGACTAATAACACACACTCCACCCATTTTCTTTTTTCCATCACTAAAGGATTTCAAAACCTAAAACTTGACAAACAGCAAGAGAAACTGAACGCAGTTTAGAGAGGGAAAGGCAAATCTTACTTGCAATTACAAGATGCTATGAAAACATACAGTGTTTAAGCAAGGTATTGCTAGAAGCGATCCGTTCCCAGCAAGCTGCTTCCTTAAAATCACAGTTCTCTCCCTCTTGGATAATGCAGCTTTTCCCTTTAATCCCCCCATGAACAAATAGAAGAAAAGAAAGAAAGAAGACTCCCTTTCCTTCTGGAGACCCCACATTTCATGCATTAGTCGCAGGGCTGCTCTTTGCACACTGAGAACCCACGCTTGTAATAAAATACTTGTTCCAGTTCAAGAACCGAGACCTAGATCCGTACGACAGCCCCTAAATGCTACACACGACGCGAGGGATGCAATTAAAATGCAGGCAGGAACTTTGGTACAGGTGTCTGCACCAGCACTGTTTGCTAAACACGTCTCTAATTAGCATGGCTTTAAACAATGCTGATAATAATCCGGTCCTGGCAGGCTTGCAAATGAATCACTGGGATTGCAAAATGAAAAGCATGAGGAATTCATTAAAGAGCGGTTCAAACTCTCCTTTGTTTATCTTCCCCCCGTCAGGTGTCAAGAACAAATAAACCTGGGATTCTCTCCCTGGATTGCATCCCAGCGCTCAGCTCCACAATACCGCGCCGCTCCAGAGCCTCCTTAGGAGGTACCAACGCCGCTTCGTTCCCCCCCCCGACCTCAGCTCCGCTTCCAAAAGAGACATCCTCCCACTATTCCCGTCCTGCAGATCTGCTCCATTCTCCGTTTGTCATCGGGGATTGAGTTATCAGACACTACTTGTATGACTTTGGGAACTGACACGTCTATTTACAGAGACACAAAGGCAATCCGGCAGCACAACCCTTGCTTCTTAACCAGCACCTTTCCTTCCAAATGTAACCCCCGCTTTCCTCCTAGGGGAAGGTGGGGGGGACACACGACACCTCCCTCGTTGCCCAGCATGACAGCGAACATTCCCAGCCACTTTTGCACTTGTTACAGCCCGATGAAAACCCACCTCCATCCCCCCCGCGAAGGAGCAGCGCTGTTTTGCCAAGGGTTTGGTTTTATTCTGCCGTTGTTTAGTGGGCTTGGATGGGGTTATTTTTCCCTTCTAAAAGAGGGTCACTTCCCCCATTTCAGCCTGCAATTAAAATGGAGGCAAGGCCAGGCGATCTATGCCTGGCTTTAGGGGGAGACAATAACCCAAAACAGGCCTGGCTTAAGGAAAAAAAAAAAGGGGGAAAAAAGAAGGAGAGAGGATAGGAAAGGGAGAAAGAGGCAGAAAAAGAGCGAAATACAACATGCTTCACCACGATTATTACCTCATCCCTTTATCCCAAGCAGTTTGGAAGCACGCTCCTGACAAACTCTTGGTCCAACTTGCACGGATGCTGGTTTTTAAGGGTTGGGGCGGGGGGGGGGGAAAGGGTTTGAATGCTGGAGCCGGGATTGAGGCTTGGCTCCTCGCAAGTGGAGCTGCTGTTAAAATGCCCCCTTGTCTCTTCTCCTCTCCCTTGAGCTGGGTGTTGACGCAGCAGAAATTACCAGCTGGAAAATTCCCCTTTTGGAGGTTACGGGGAGGGGAGGGTTGGGGGGGGGGGGGGCGGAGAAGGGGAGGGGAGGGCCGGGGGAGGGGGGTTAAACCCTGCCACTTACCAAGTTAAGCCATCCACCCCACACCAAATAAGCCATCGCGTCCCAAAGAAGGCACCGTGCCCCCCCTCCTCCTCCGTAGGCACGGAGCCACCGGCCCCCCCCCTGCTCCCCCGAGGCGGGTTGTGCCAACGGAGGGCGCGGGGCTGGGCAGGGGGCGATGGTAGCGGTGAGCACAGCGGAGGAGGCGGGGGGAAAGGAGAAGGAGGACGGGGAAGGGGGGGGGGTGGCAAAGCGCTGCCCGCCTCGCCTCGCCTCAGGGCGGCCGCGGGGGCCTCAGGGGAAGGGCGGGCGGCCATGGCGACCCCCGCTCGCCCCAGGGGGCGTTGGGGAGGGGGGGTGGTGGGCAGCGCGCTTACCTGAGCCCCATGGAGGAGAGCGCGGTGTGGGAGCGGCCGGAGCTTGTGGCTCCGTCGGTCACTCCGTGCCTCTCCTCGGGGTGGGGAGGGGAAGGGGAAAGGGGGAGGAGGGCGGGGGAGGTGGGGGGGGGGGGAGAAGCCGGTAGAAGGGGGGGGGCCCGGGCGCGCTCCCGTGGCTCCCTCGGGCGCGCGGGGCGCGAACCCGCGACAGGCGAGCGCGGAGGGGGGGGGGGGGGACTGAGGGAGGGGGGGGAGAGGCGGTGCCGCGCGGCGCGTGCCGGCGCCTCCGCCCCGCCCCTTCTCCCACACTGGCGGGCGCTGATTGGTCAGAGGCAAGCACGGGCCTCCGTTAAGCGCCGCCTATTGCTCCGCCCCCTTCTTTCCTCCCCTTGCGCCGGGGGAGCGGGGGCGCCGCCGGCGGCGCTGCCACTGCCGGACACCGGAAGTGAAGGGCGGGCTGGGGGAGCGCGCACGGGCTCGGCCGCGCAGGGTATGATGGGACGGCTCCGTGACAGCGCTGAGTCGGCGGCGGACCCGGATCCGGACCCGATCCCCATCCCGGTCCCGGACCCCATCCCGGGTTCCCCCGGGGTACCTCTAGCGGCTCTTACCCGACCTTGCCGTGGCCCGGGCTCCCCCGGGGTACCTCTAGCGGCTCTTACCCGACCTTGCCGTGGCCCGAGGAAGGAGGGCCCGCGGTTGTGTCCCCCTGAGCGGGTGCATCCCCTCAGGCTCCGCCGTGAGGGGCAGCGGTTTGCTCCCCACGGGAGCCTGTGGCCGCGCCGAGCTGTTTATGGTGGGGGGGAATCACTTTTCACTCTATTAAGAAATAAGAAACCTTATTAATTAATAGGAACCCAAGATCTGCAGCCCGGCAGGCTTCAGAGCCCGTTAAACGGGGCGCTGGCCTGGCTTGATGGCTGGAGACTGAGGGTGTGCAGGACGGAGATGAGAGCCCCCCGCCTGTCACATCCAGGGATGGAAACCTTGTTGCAGCAAAGGGCAGGATCCTGCCCTTTCGGCTGCTGCGCTGCAGGATCTGCCACAACCTGCCCTATATTTCAAAGGACGGAGCTTAACAGCACAGGATAGGTCTGGAGCGGCGAGGAAGCTGATGCCAGCCCTGCCATGGCTGTGGCGAGCAAGGGAAACCGCTCCTGGATCTCTGGATTGGGAAAGCAGGAGCTGGTCCAGCAGCTGTAACGTTTGCAACCTGTGCATCAGCATCCACATGCTGGGATTGTGCCCCAAAGAGGGGAAATCCCCGTGGGTTGGGCGTTTGGTTGCCTTGTTAACCAGCTTAGGTGGGTAATCACGGGTAATTGCGTGCCTAAGGCTTGGAAGTGTCCTCCCGGGTTTCCTTCCCCCCCCCGTCCTATGGATTTGCTTCATCTCTGGCTTTTAAATAGGGAGTCCTACCGCTGAAGCCTCGGAGTTGGTTTTATGCCTGTTCTTTATTCGAGTCCTCCTCTACAAGGTTTCAATCTCCAGGACGTCCCTTCACGAAAAAAAAAAGAGATTATTTTCCACTTTTCAATCTGTGGTTTAAATAAACAGATGTTGTGTGTGTGGTGTTTTCCACCCCCCGTTTCCTCCCACACACCCTCAATACCTTCGATTTTGAAAAGCCCATGAATGAACCTGATTAATGACAATGAAATGTCTTTTAACTCCAGCGTGGTTTTAATTACCTCTTTATTTCCTATTGCAACAGAGTCCAAGCAGCACCTTCCTAGAAAGAGTTCCATTAAGATGCAAATGAAGGCTCTGCAGAAACTGTCTCGCAATGCAATGCAACGAAGGACTCCGTTTCTTACACTTAAGCAACACGGTGCCAGGGGGGTGTCCCGCTGCCTCCTGCTCCTCCTGCACATGCAATCCTCTGCCTTCACCTCCCCATGCGTGTGGTTGCCGGTCCCTGTCACCTGCAGGTGAAAAGCACCGGAGCTGAACAGCCAGAATCTCTTTTCCCACCCTCAATGCCCAAGTGTTTCACGTGAAGCTCTTCCCCCCGGCGCCTGCAGGTGCTAAATCCTTCTGTTGTGTACGTTGGTTAAGTTTAAGCTTTGAGTTGGTCTTATTTTTTAGGCTCTGTGTTGAAATGGGAAGGTTTGAGGGGCTGATTGAAGATGGAGCTGTATCTTTATGCCACTGTATATCTATTTTGCATAAAATCCATACCATACGTGGTCACAGCTAGGAGCACTCCTGCTTCTAGCTCACTCACTCCTGCTTATCCTCGCTCCTCCCTGCTTGAGACCGAGCTTCCCGTTATCCCGAGGCTGCTCCGGTTCAGTGTGTACGTTCCCTTCCTCTCCTCCCACCCAGGGTTTCTTCCTCAGGTCTTTGTTGGCAGCAAGTATTTATTTATGTAGTATTTCTTTGCGTGTGGGGCTGGGCTGAGGCCCCGGAGCAGCAGCAGCTGCAGCCTGGGCACTGCCCTGGGGAACGTGCTCCAAGAGGGGGAGGCTGGCTGAGGGCCGAGCTTCCCAAAGCTGCTCCACACAAAGGATTTCAGGAGGCTTGGGAAGCTTTAATATTTAACATACCCACACCCCTTCCTCCTTTAATGGGAAGTTTGTGTCTTATTTTAGGTAAAGGCTGCAAGTGCTCCGCCTGTCCTCAGAAGAGAGGTGGTTTCTCCTCAGAAAGAAGGAAAGAACATGCATGGGGTAAAAAGAACAGGAAAAAAAAGAAGAGCTGGAGGAGAAATCAGGCTTGTTCATGAGCTTTTTGGTGTGCAAAGTGTCATGAACGGCGTGAACAAAGGAGAGGTCAAGAGCACAGATGCACCTCTGTGAGATTAAAGACTGTTTCTGGCTCAAATCAATGTCCTCTGCACACCACCATGTCACAGGTTTCATTGAGGAGGAGACCACTGGAGGTCTGGGCTTTAATTGTGTTTGGCTATTGGGAAAACAGGGAAATTCCATAATCCTGTAGCACAGGAGTGGTTGGAATCACCCTGTGGTGGGGTGAGGTAGAAACGGGCTGGAGACAGTAGAGGAAAGCTGCCTCCATACCACATCCCATCTGAAAATCATCAGGATGCCGAAGTGTTCTCATCCCAGCTCCCCTCTTCAGCTCTGCTCCACCTTGCATTCGTCTTGCTTGTAGGAGATGTTATATCTGGTAAAATAAAATGATTTCTTGTGTGTCCTTGCCGTGTGGTCCGTTTGGAAGCACGCTAAGAAAATCCTAATGACCTGATTACTCTGGGTTGGGTTTTTTTTTTAATTCCTTACAAGTTTTGTACTCTGAAATAGAGATGCACAGAAAATCCTGAGGGATCTCTGATCTGTGAGCTCTGCTTACAGCCATCCCATGTTTCATACGTGGTACACGTGTTTCCATCACCAAAGCCTGTTCTTCCCGAAGTGCAGCGGGAAGAAAGCTGGTTTGCTCCTGCACCTCACAGCAGCTCTGCATCCCTGGAAATCCTCGCATCACCAGCTTTACCAGCTCCACTGAGAGCATCCTGCTCTATGGAGGAGGTGGAGGAAAGGGTTAAAGGACCCACATTCCTGTCCCTAAGGCTCTGATCAAAGGTCAGGGGTCTTTAGGTGAAGGAAGGGAGGGCGGTGGTGGCAGCCCTGACCAGGTCACTCTAGGAGTAAAGCACAGCTGAGGGGAGCTAATGAAGCAGTGTTTGTCTCTCTCACAGCACATACTCCCGGGCAAGTCAGAATTCCTGCTCTAGTGGGAGTGAAGATGTCGATTGTACTTTTTCCATGATGTGGATTGAGGCATTTGCTAGGTTGTGGGAGTAAACACTTGGGGGAATTCTCCATCAGCTCAGCAAGGGCAAGTCACAAGCCTACTAAATATGGTGAATGAAGATTACAAAAGAAGCCCTGGAGAATCAACCTCCCTCTTCCCACCCCAGCTCCCCACCAGCGCTACCCCTGCACAGTTTTCCTCATTATCTTGTGCTGCTGCTTCACTGCTTCCCAGCTAAATCCATGGCTGTTAGTGTGACTGAGGACACCGTGCTGCTTTAGCTTTGTGTTCCAACCCGACGGGCAGCGCTGGGGTGGTCCTGCTCTACCAGAGACACCCTGCACCATCCTGCTGCAGAAAGCAGAGACACCAACTATTCACCGAGGGAGGGGAACAGCAGGAAATGCTCCCAGGTCTGTAAATACTTGAGGGGGTGAGAGATGATGCTCATGGACAAACTATTTGACCAGCCGCATCCCACTGACCTCCTTCGGTGCTGCTCTTGAAAGGGATTGGCCGGACACTGAAACAGTTGATCTTTAATGCTCCAAAAATACATTCCCTTTCAAAGGCTCTCAAGTGGAGGAGCAGCCAGGCTGCCAAACTCCAGCCCCACTCCCATCCTCTCGTGGCCTGGGTGAGCTCAGCTCCGGGGTGTTGGTTGAGGTTCACCCAAGGGTGTAGAGGAGGGTAAGGATGAAAGGTGCTGGGGCCATGGGATGGGGAGGGCAGGAGAGCAGCAAGCTCTGTCTCCAGCCCTCCTCCTGGCTGCTCCATCCCCGTTGTGCTGCCCTGGCTCTGTCCAGTCTCTCTCTTGCTCCCCTCCCTGCCAAACTGGTCCCCCAGGGGCCCCTTTGGTTCCCACCCAGAAGCAAGGGATCATTTCGGTGCTGGTTCAAGCTCAAGCACATCACTGCACTGCACAGCATCACCCTCCTCCTGCCATTAGATGACCTCTGCTTCCCTTTTCCTGAGCGTGGGCTCGCCCTGGGGTTGCTTTCTGCTGTAGTTCACATTGTGGTGCTCTGGTTCTTCACCCCTTTAGCAGCCTTCCTCCACCACTGCACATTTCATGCTGTTCTCTGTACCCAGATCTCCTTTCACAGCTCCTCATGGCATTCATCACTGTGCATCTGGGAAGAACCAGGGCCTGGGCCATGCCCTTTCCTGAGACCAACAGCACAACCCTGCATGTTTAGAACAGGTTTTGATCCTTCCTCCTCTGGTATCACCATCCTTCACACCTGCAACTGTTCCAGCCACTGCCCAAGGGCTCACACCAACCCCTATGGAAAGCAACAAACCCATTTCTCTTTCCAGTACACACAGAGAGGGACAATCCCAAGGTGCCAGCATCCTTCACACTCGGATTTGGCTCTCAGTTAAGCTCAACCCTTTTTGCTACAGCCCTTCAGAGACATCTATCTGAACCCAATCCCTCTGCTTGCAAAGAGTCTGTTTCCCTCAGAACCCAAAGAAGGTGCTGGGCTGCGTGTGGGTCCTGTTCCATGCAGCCTGGATGCACTTGGAAAAGGCAGAAGCAACAGTTAAATATATCTAAGCACTGCAGGATGGGAAGTGTGGTTTGGGGTTGAGTCAGGCAAGTGGTAGTTTGGAGGCTTAAATACAGTAAGGCAGGGTTTGCTGTCCCTTGTGTGGAGCTGACACTGCAGAGAGCACGGTCCAGCCCTTTTGGGTGAGTTAACCCCAGCTCCATGCCCCTCGGCTGCAGAGGGATCAAAGCTCGGCTTCAGTTTGCTCCTGCTGGGATGCTTCCTTTGGGTTTTACCTCCTGTGTTCTGGATGTGCTCCCACACGCCGCAGCCCCTGGAGCTGAGCTGCAGTGGGAGAGCAGCAGATCCAGCCCTTGCTTCCCATCCAGAACAATAATCACAGGGAAAAGGAGGAGGGCCCCGGCAAAACGTTCACAAAATGCCCTGAAGTGACTCAGAACCGTTTTGCACCATATTCGAATTTATATCAAGTTGCTGGCCACGAGGAGGGATGAGGCTGCCCCTGAACTGGTTTCTGTTGGGAGCTGTTCAAAGGCACTTAATAGCATTTAGCACCCCAAGACACCCCGTGAGCAGCAGCGCTGCTATGGAGCTGGGAGCTGCTGGGATCACGCATGTGGTGGGCAGCATCTTCCTGCTGCGATGCCCACCTCCAACCTCTCCTCCCACCTTTCCCAATGGGAAAACAGCCCGTTGAGGAGCAAGGACGGTTTAAACGGCACGTGTGTAGTGAGGGGTGTCCGTTGTGAGCCCTTCGTGGGGGTCCCCACGCTCTCCCCTCTGTTTCTCCTGGCTGAAGGCACCTGCAGCTGCTTCCCAGCCCTCGGCTCCCACAGGATTTCCTCTCTGGGCAGGCAGGGAGCGGTCCCGCAGCCCCCAGCCCTCGCCCTGCCGCAGGAAGCGCTCTGGGAGCAGGGGCTGGGATGGGGAAAGGATGGAGGAGGAAAACGGGGAGTCACGGGGGGAGCTGCCAGATAAGGGCGGGCTGGGAATGCCGGGCGGATGCAGGTCGGAGCGGCGCCCCGGTCACTTCCCTCGTGTCGCCCGGCCGGAGCCGCTATGGGAGCCCTGGGATGCGATTCCAGCCAGGGAGCTCCAGCACCCGGCAAAGAGCGGAAAATCCCGCATTGGGAACGGGTTTCCTCTTCCTCCGGTGAGGCAGAGCAGGGGCAGAGCCCAGCATCACCCCCTGGGCAGCGGGGTTCAGGGGGTGCAGTGTCCACCCGCAGGGATGGTCCAGCCTCCCCTCTGCTCGCCTTCATCCCTTGTGTGTGCTGGTGCTGGAGCCCTCTCGCCCAGCCATCGTGTGCGACCTGATGTCAGCCATCAGGAAACAGGCGCTGGATGAGCCCTGAAGGCCATCCCAGCAGGGCTGTGCCATTGGGAATGCTCCCAAGCAGAGGCAGAAACGTGGCTTTTCCCAAAGCCTGGAAAAGCCCCTGTTCTCTGGGGAGTGCCGCAGAGATGCAGGCAAAGGAGACAAATGCCTTCTTTATTTCCTTTCCCCCTGGCTTCAGTCATTCCAAACCCCTCCAGAAACATCCGTGCTGCCTTCCCAGCTCTTTCCTAAACCAAACCCACTGCTTTCATTATTCCTCTGGGCATTTGTTCCCTGTAACACATTATCTGCTCCCTGCAATGCCGCACTGACCCTGAGCTTCAGTCCTTGCCCTTGACTGCTGGACCCCGCACCGGTTCAGGCAGCCCCGTGGCACCTCCCTCTGCACTCCTCAGCCAGATCCCGCTCCAGCCTTGATGTTCCATAAGGAACCAGCGCCAGAGCTGCTGGTGTAACCTCCCATGAGCCTTCATCTCCAGCCTCCGAGGGGGATGTGGGGTGATGGGCGTGAAGATACCCCAGGAGATGATGCTGCAGGTTCTGCAGCCCCAGGGATAGGATGGGAGCATCCTGGCCCAGCATCCCTCTGAGCATCCCATGGGCAGTGCTGGCACCCTTGGGGTACCCCGTGGGGTACAAGCACACCCCAAACCAGCTCTGTTCCCTTGTCCAAGCTGGGGTTAGCAATGAGCCAGAACAGGGAGGTTTGGGTTTAATCTGCAGGGGAATCTTCACACCTCCCTTTGCTCTTCCCCTCGCAGCCCCCACTCCATGGTGGGGGCAGTGCCCATCTGCTGGTGTGATTTCAAACATCATCCTCCCTCCCTCTTCCTCCTCCACCCCGAGCCCCCTCTGCTCCTCCTCTGCCCACCCTCACCTCTGCCTTCATTTACTGCTGGTGCCGCAGGGATGCGGCTCAGTGGGATGAGGGAGGATGGAGGGATGCTGTGCCGGTGCCAGCTGGGATTTGCCTCTCCCAACCTCCAGCAAGGGCAATGTGAGAGGAGGAGAGCAGCTCACACGCATGAGCAAACCCCGCTGCTGGGGCTGGAGGTGCCTCTGCTAAGGCCAGGGTTAAGGCCGCAGACACGTTGCCTCCTCTCTGGGCGCGGGGTTAGAGGGGGTATGGCCTGCATCCGTGCAGATGCGAGCGTGTTTATTCTTACCAGATAGTTTGATGGCTTTATCTGATCACCGGCTTTCCTGAGGAAGGAAGGGTGAGTCTGACTCACTGCGAAATGGGGGCCCTGCATCTCTGGGTATGAGCAGAGCCCCGGGGCGAGCCCTGCTCCTGGCGCTGGCTGCTCTCCAGCTTTCACTCCACCGCATTGCCACGGTCACTCATAGCCCTCAGTCGCTGATAGATTAATAGGTGTAAGCACTGCTGGGGAGGGAGGATGCTGGGGTTGCAAAAGAAGCACCCAGGACCCAAGCCATGTATTGAGTCCATGCTGTGTGAGGAGGGGAGCTGCGGCGTCGTGCCCCCAATGCACAAAACACCGTTACAAGCAAGCTGTAACCCAGCAGTGATTGATAAACCCAAGAGGGACAGGCCCATGCCCTCCTAGAAGCAAACCCACGTCATT